AATGACGATGTTAACGACGGTGCTGATAATGATGATGACGACGACGACGATGACGATGCCGATGACTGTGACGGGGATGCTGATGATGATGACGATGTGCCGATCGCGATGACAATGATGATGACGCAGACGATGACGCAGATGATGATGACGATGGCGATCACGATGTCGATGGCGATGATGACGACGATGACGATGACGAAGATGATGATGATAAAGACGATGATTGTGATGATGAAATTTTGATGATGGTGCTGATGACGCTGCTGATGATACTGCTGATGCTGATGATGACAATGGCAATGATGATTTGGATGCTGATGATGATGAAGATGATGGGAATGATGACGATGATGATTGTGATGATGATAATCATGGTGATGGCGATGACGATGATGGCGATGACGATGACGATGGTGATATCATTGTGATGATGGCGATGACGACGATGATGATGCTGCTGGTGATGACGGTGATGCTGCTAATGCTGATGATGTTGATGATGATGATGACCATTATGATCATGATGGCCATGACGATGATGATGACGATGCCGATTGTGCTGATGACGATGAGGATGATGATGAGGATGATGCAGGAGAATAATAAAGTTATGATTGTGATGGTGATGAATATAATGAACATGGTGCTGGCGATGATGATGCTGGTACTGGTGATGATGATCACGATGATGGTGCCTACGACAATGTTGATGGTGATGGTGCTGATGATGGTCATGATGATGCTGTTGGTGATTATGACGATGCTGACAATGACGATGACGGTGTCAATGACGATGATGTTGATGGTGATGCTGATGACGGTGATGATGCGGACGATGATGATGATGACGGTGGTAATGATGATGATGGTGATGCTAATGATGACGACGACGATGCCGATGACGGCGATGATGATGCTGATGGTCACTATGATCATGCTGGTGGCGATGAGGACGCTGATGCTGATGATGATGGTGATGGCGTGGATGATGATGATGATGCTCACGACCTCGATAGCGGTGACGGTGACGGTGACGGTAGTGATGCTGACGATGACGATGATGTTGATGCAATGGTCATGATGATGACGATGATGCTGATGATGCTGATGATGATGATGATGTTGATGATGCTGATGATAATGTTGACGTAGATGTTCATGTTAGTGTTGATGTTGGTGTTGATGATGACGATGACGATGATTGTATCAAGGAATATTCTGATGCCGTTGATGCTGATGATGATGAGGTCAATGATGGTGCTGGTGGTGTGGATATGCTAGCGGCGATGACGACGATGATGATCATGGTGATGGGGATGGTGATGTTGATGTTTATGTTGATTTTGATGTTGGTGCTGATTAGCATGACGATAATGCGGGTGATGGCGGTGACGATGACGATGACAATGTGGATTATGATCATGATTCTGCTGATGATGGCAAGCATGCTGACACTGACGATCACTGTGATGATGCTGACTATGATGATGAGGATTATGATGAGGATGTCGGCGATGATGAGGATATTGAGGATTATGATGATGATGGTGGCGATGACGATGATGATGCGGATTATGCTGATGATGACGATGATGATGATGCTGATGCTGCTGATGCTGCTGATGAGGAAGGTGACGACGCTGACGATGATCATGATGATGCTCATGATGATATTGTTAGTGACACTCTTGATGTCTATGACGACGACGATGACGATACCGATGGTGTCGACGACGACTTTGACGATGATGATGATGATGATGATGATGGCGCTGATGACAGCGACGACGATGCTGATGATGATTGCATTGGGTGGTGATGCTGTTGATGATGATGGCCATGATGTTGGTGATGTTGATGGTGACGATGACTCGTCTGATGATGATGATGATGATTTGAATGATGATGATGCCGATTCCGATGATGTTGATGATGATGATGATGATTTTGATGATGATGATGTCGATTCCGATTATGATGATGACGATGACGGTGATAATGTTGGTGATGATGACGGTGCCGACAGTCATGATGTTCATGATGATGATGCAATGATGATTAACATTATTATGATAATGATGATGCTGACGATGACGATGATGATGCAATGGTCATGATGTTGACGATGATGATGACGATGATGATAATGATGTCGACGATGAAGATGATGATGATGATGATGATGATGCTGATGATGATGATGATGATGATGATGATGATGACGATGCCGATTGTGCCGAGGACGGCTTTGATCTGATTGACGAAGATGATGATGGTGATGATGATGGTGATGCTGATGATAATCGCGATGATGTGATGACGATGGCGATGACGATGTCGATGATGATGATGATGATGATGATGATGATGATGATGATGATCACGATGCTGACAAGGCTTTATGATAGCGATGATGGTGCCGACGGCGACGACGATGATCATGAATCTGATCACTATGACGACGATTATGATGATAATGATGCTGATGATACCGATGCTGATCGTGATGGTACGATGATGACATTGTGGTGATGCTGTTGACGACGTTGATATCGATGCCGATGGTGATGACGGCGATGTCAATGACGGAGATGACGATGATGATCATGACGATGTCGCTGATGATGATGATGATGATGATGATGATGATGATGATGATGATGATGAGGATGATGACGATTATGATGACGATGTCGGTGCTTCCGACGAGAATTTCGATGAATAACGGTTATGACGATGATGACGAGGCTGACCATGACGATGATGATGATGATTATGAGGATGATAGGGGTGATGCGGAGGATGACGAGGATGAGGATGATGATAATGATGATGATGATGATGATGATGATGATGATGATGATGATGATGATGATAATGCTGGTGATGTTGTTTGTGATGAAGATTATGATGATGAAGGTAACGATAATTTGACGATGCTGCAAATGATGATGATATTCATGATCACGATAATGATGATGCTGATGATGCCGATGCCAATGACGAGGATCGTGATGACGATCATCATGTTTAAGATGATGACGATGCCGATGACGGTGTCGATGCTGTCTATGATGATGGTGATGATTATGGTGATGATGACGGCGATGATGATGTTGTCGAGGTCACCGATGAGGATGATTCCGATGATGATGATGACGAAGAAGATGATAATGATGATGATGATGATGATGATGATGATTATGATGATGATGATGATGATAATGCCGATGCTGATGACGCTGGGGCTGACGACACTGACGATGATGCCGATGATGATGCTGATGACTTCGATGTCGACGATGATGGTGATGACGATGACGACGATGATGATGCTTATGATGATGACGACGGTGACGATGAGGATGATTCTGATGCTGATTATGGTGATGATGTGGCGACGGTGATCTCTGTGATGTCGATGCGAATCATGCTGATGATCATGACGATGGTGCTGATGATGATGGCGATGACGAGTGCGATGACATTTCCGATGATGACGATGATGTTGATGTGAATGACGACGATGCCGCTGATTATCCTAATGATTGTGATGTTGACGATGCCGATAATGATGGCGATTGCGATGCTGCTGTGGATGACGTCATCGATGATGATGTTTCCGATGATGGTGAGGATGATGATGATGCTGATGATGATAATGATGATGATGATACTGATGTCCATGGCAATGATAGTGATTCTGATGATGATGGTGATGGTGATGATGATGATGATGATGACGGTGACGATGATGACTATGGCGATGGCGACGGTGATAGCGAACATGATGCTGCAGTTGTTGATGATTTCATGATAATCATGTTGATGATTCTGTTGATGCTGCTGATGATCATCATTATGTGAAGATAACGATGACGATGACGATGACGATTATGGTGATGATGATGATGATGATGATGGTGGAAATGATGGCGATGATGATGCTGATGCTGATGATGATGCTGATGATGATACTTATGGTAGTGGTGGTGGTTATGATGACTGTGTCGGTGGCGATGATGATGATAACCGTTTTGGTTGTAGTGGTGACGGAGGGTGGTTGTGGTGATGACGATGATGACGACGACGATAACGATGACGATGACGATGACGACGACGATGTTGATGATGATGATAACGACGACGATGACGATGACGATGACGATGACGATGACGATGACGATGACGATGACGATGACGATGACGATGACGATGACGATGACGATGACGATGACGATGACGATGACGATGATGATGATGATGATGATGATGATGATGATGATGATGAGGATGAGGATGAGGATGATGATGATGATGATGATGATGATGATGATGATGATGATGATGATGATGATGATGATGATGAGGGAACGCACGGGACTCGCATGCCTGGCCGATCTTTAGACTGGTCCCCTGTCCCCTTGCCTGTGCTTGCCGCGCCTTGTTGGCCGGGATTGCGCGGCTGCCGCCGCCGCTTCGCCTGGGCGCGGAACCCGCCGAGCTGCCCGACCACGAACATGACGATATTTCTGCAGTCCCCAGGGAGGTCTAATTCTGAGTCGCGTATGACGTCGCTACGATGGACCTCACCAGGAGCCCACGAAGGTGGCGACAGTGCCGCAGTTCGCAGCCTGCAGGGAGGGTAGAGAGGAAGAGGAGAAGGAGGATGAGGAGGAGGAGGAGGAGGCGGAGGAGGAGGAGCAAGATGAGAAGGAGCAGGAGGAGGAGGCGGGTCGGAGGTAGGATCAGGCAGGACACAGGAAACAAGAAGCAGAGAGAGAGCCAGGAGGCAGGCGGGCGGAAGGACGGAACGCACAGTACTCTGTAGTCAAGATGAGAAGCCGACGCAGCTTCTCCTCCTCCTCCTCCTCCTCCTCCTCCTCCTCCTCCTCCTCCTCCCCCTCCCCCTCCCCCTCCTCCTCCCCCTCCCCCTCCTCCTCCTCCTTCTGCCCCTCCCTCCCCTCGCCTCTCGCCGAACCGGGCCGCCCGCGCAGGCCTTGGGAACAGGCGGCGACAGCCTCCGGGACGAGGTGAAGAAGCTGTTCCGGTGACGCGCCGTCTGCGGCGACCTGCCGCCCGCGCCTCCTGCTCCGGAGGAGCGGAGGGGGGGGAGAGGAGGGAGGATAGGATCGGCTCGTCCCTCCAAGGGACGAGCGGGGGCGAAGGAGGTCGTGGGAGGGAAACATGTCCATGTCCACGGCCTCGCGGGCTGGGCCCCTGGGCCGCGATCCCATGGATACGGGAAGTTGTTCGCTGGATGCTCCGCGCGGAACGTATCCATGCGACCGCGTATCCACGGGATCGCGCCCTGGAATCCAGACCGCGAGGGTGTGGATATGGATATGCTCGCCGCTCATGAGGAGGATGGAGGAGGTGGCGGATCGGATCGATTCGGCCGGCGGGCGCGACTGGAACCTCGGAGCCGCAGAGCTCGCTCGCTCAGCGTCGGATGGGGCACACACCGTTCTCATCTGGACGCCTGCACGCTAAGCACATAGGTGACACAAAAAGAGAAAGAGCGCCAGTGGACCACCTCGTAATTGGTGGATCACCCCGTAATTGAAAAGGGAGGGGGTGCTTCCAGAACCCTCCACCCCCCCTCCCCCCCTTCAAGGGGGGGGGACATTTTCGGACCCCCCCCCCTTGGCGCTGGAGATGGGGGGGGCGACTTCGGACCCCCCCCCTTTCCCCTTTTGGCCAGGCAAGGGTGGACCAGGGTTAGGCGTAAGTGGTAGGGTTCGGGTTTAGGGTAGGGGTTAGGGTTAGGGTTAGGGTATTCGGGGTTAGGGGTTAGGGTTGAGGCAGGGGTTAGGGTTAGGGTCAAGCTAGCCAGCTCGAGCGAGTCAAGCATGGCATGCCCATTCCCACCCGCCCTCCCACAACATAAGAAACAGTGATGGCACAACTGGGGGCTGCGCGGGCATTTAAGTGCGAGTGGAGGATACCCCAGAACACCGCATTGACGTCCGCGCGGGATGTGCGCCGCGTCCCATTCCCGCCACGCGTTTCGCATCGTCGGCGACAAGACTGGCCATGTTGAAACGAACAACGGACACGTTCCGCCCTCCCACACCATAAGAAACAATGCTGGCGCAACTGGGTGCTGGCACGTAGTGGTAGTAGTAGTAGTAGTAGTAGTAGTAGTAGTAGTAGTAGTAGTAGTAGTAGTAGTAGTAGTTGTAGTAGTAGTAGTAGTAGTAGTAGTAAGTGGTACCGCGTCAATAGCCGCTCGAGCGAGTCAAGATGCATGGCCATGGTTGTAAGTGCGATACCGGACGCACGTTCCCGTCGCATCGTCGACGACAAGACTGGCCATGTTGAAAGGAACAACGGGCACGTTCCGCTCTCCCACAACATAAAAAAAAAACAATGCTGGCGCAACTGGGTGCTGGCGCGTAGTGGTAGTAGTAGTAGTAGTAGTAGTAGTAGTAGTAGTAGTAGTAGTAGTAGTAGTAGTAGTAGTAGTAGTAGTAGTAGTAGTAGTAGTAGTAGTAGTAGTAGTAGTAGTAGTAGTAGTAGTAGTAGTAGTAGTAGTAGTAGTAGTAGTAGTAGTAGTAGTAGTAGTAGTAGTAGTAGTAGTAGTAGTAGTAGTAGTAGTAGAAGGAGTCGTAGTAGTAGTAGTAGTAGTAGTAGTAGTAGTAGTAGTAGTAGTAGTAGTAGTAGTAGTAGTAGTAGTAGTAGTCGCAGTAGTAGTAGTAGGATTAGTAGTAGTAGTAGTAGTAGTAGTAGTAGTAGTAGTAGTAGTAGTGCTTAGTATCTAGTAGTAGTAGTAAGTCGTAGCAGTATAGTAGTAGTGTAGATAGTAGTAGTGTAGTAAGTATGGTGTGGTATTATAGTAAATAAGTATTAATTGTATAGTAAGTAGTTGTTGTTGTAGAAGTAGTAGCAGTAGTAGTAGTTGTTGTTGTTGTAGTAGTAGTACTAGTACTTGTAGTAGCCGTACTAGTAGTGGTTGTTCTAGTGGTAGTGGTAGTAATATTATTATTATTAATAGTAGTAGTAGTAGCAGTAGTAGTAGTAGTAGTAGTAGTAAGAGTAAGAGTAGTAGTAGTCGTAGTAGTAGTGGTAGTGTACAGTGGATATACGAATAGGTAGTAGTATTAGTAGTACGATTAAAAATACGAGTCGTATAAGCAGAAGTACTACAGGTAGTACAAGTACTCGTACGAGTAGTAGTACAGAGTAGTAGCACTATGGAAGTAGAAGTGCTAGTAATACTTGTACGACTGCTAGACTAGTAGCAATGCCTTTGGTACTACAATTTGCAAAACAAGTAGTAGCAGCAGGAGTAGTAGTAGTAGTAGTAGTAGTAGTCGTACCAATGGCACTAGTAACGCTAGTCAGGATGGGAGTGTCCGCAGCCCGCATGGACGTCCGCGTGCGATGTGCGCCGCGTCCCATTCCTGCCACGTATTTCGCACCGTCGGCGACAAGGCAGGCCATGCTGAGAGGAAAAAAAGAAGACTTGATATTGATTTTTTATAGTCAGGGTGGGCGGGCCCAGATTGACTGCCGCGCGCGATGCGCGCCGCGTCCCATTCCTGCCACGTTTTTCGCATCGCCGACGACAAGAAAGACGATGTTGAGAAGAAAACCGGCGACTTCGTATTGATTTTTTAGAGTCCGGATGGGAGGTCCCGGATTGGGCCGCTATCGGCCGAATGCGAGGTAGGTGGGGGTATATAATAATAAGGAACAAGGATGTGGGTGAGGGTGCGTGTGTGTGTGTGAGTGTGTGGGTGTGTGGTCGTGTGGGCGTGTGGGCGTGTGGGTGTGAGGGTGTGTGTGTGTGGGTGTGTGTGGATGTGTTGTGTGCGTGTGGGTGTGTTAGTGTGTGTGTGGGTGTGTGTGAGTGTGGGGTCGTGGGGGTGTGGGGGTGTGGAGGTATGAGGTGTGGGGGTGTGGGGGTAATGAGGTGTGGGGGTGTGTGGGGGTGGGGGGGGATGGGGGGTGGGGGGGGGTGGGGGGGGGGCGTGTGGTGTGGATGCGATGCGGGTGTTGGGTGTTGGTGTGTGGGTGTGTGGGTGTGGGGTGGGGGGTATGTTGTGGTGGGTGGGTGGGTGTGGGTAGTTGGATGCGTGGGTGGGTTGGTGGGTGTGTGGGTGGGTGAGTGGGTGGGTGGGTGGGTGGGTGGGTGGGAGGGTGGGTGTGTGGGGGGGAATGGGGGTGGGTGCGGGTGGATGGGGGGTGGATGGGGGTGGGGGTGGTGGGGATGTGTCTGTTGTTCATGCGCTGCCATGCTTACTGCTCTCCTGCTATTGCGGTGAGATACTCGATGCACGTCTGAAGGCTGACCAGCTTTGGATTACTCGGTTCTCCTCGCAAGGGCATTCCCTGAACCTCCCTCAACGTTGTCTCCAAGGTTGTGGCAACACGTTTGACGAGGCGGTTGCTTTCTGAGTCAGAAGATCGTTTGCATGCGTATGGTGTTATGGTCGTGTCGCCACGACGGTACTCTTTTTCTTGAGCCATCACGTTTACAGTTCGTGCTACAGTTCAGTTTGCTTCAGGCCTTCGTGTCGCCACGACGCCTGCTCTGGAAAATGTTTTGCGCGCTGGAGCGATTTGTAACTGCACGCATTTACGCCCCAGCTCGGAGGAAAGCTGGGGGGGAAAAAAAACGCGACAGAGTATCACGGCCAGAATGTGGGAACCGTTTTCCGGTCACCAGGCCCCTTTGGGCCCCGCCGCAAGACGATGCAATCCAACACACCAGAAGCAAACCAATCGGCGTTAAAATTGTTAAACGCTCGTGGGGGCCATCCTTGGGCCCCGGGCACGAAATTTGTCACGAAACCTCCCCGAACCTGTCATTGGAAGGCTAGGGAGTTCAATTATCCACAGGTGGGTGGGGGTGGGTGCGGGGGGGATGGGGGTGGGTGGGTGGGTGGTTGAAGGTGGGTGGGGGTCACGTTAGCCAGCTCGAACGAGCCGGAGGGCTCCGTCCACCCCCACCCGCCCGCCCACAACATAAGAAGCAAGTGCGTCGCGTCCGACGCCTGTCGCTCATCTTATATCGTGGGCGGCTGGACGTTCAGCGCGCGGCATGAACTGCGTCCTATTCCTGCCGCGTATTGAGCAACGCCGACGAGAAACAAGACCGCGCGCGATGTACGCCGCGCCCCGCTCCGACCTCTCATGTTGCATCGTCGGCGACCACATGTCCAGCGCGCAAAGTGCGCCGCGTTTCATTCGAGCCACGCGTGTTGTACCGCCAATCGTTTCGCCCCTGCCGCGCATGGAGGATGGGGAGGGGGAGGAGTATGAGGAGGAGGAGGAGGAGGAAGAGGAGGAGGAAGGAAAGGAGAGAGGGAGGGAGGGGGAAACTGAGGAGGAAGAGGATAATGCCTCCTTTTTGAGGCACTCTGAGTTGCCGCCCGCCCAGCTCCTCAACCCGACGGGCC